GCTGCTTGGCCTGCTGTGTTCATCCAGCCCTGCACCTTGTTGTCTTGGATTCTCCAGCATCTGCAGTTCCTACTATCGCTGCTCAGTGTTGCCCAGTTTGGGTTCCATCAGGACCACTCATTGCGTGACCTCATTATAGCCTTGATTCAAACAAGGACCAAAACAGCTAAATTCCTGAGGTGAGAGTGACTGCTCTTAACATTAAGGCTGCATTTGAACAAGTGTGGAATTGAGGAGCCTTAGCAATACTGGAATCAATGGAATCAGGTAAAACTCTGGTTGGAATCATACCTGGGAAGATGTCAGTGGTTATTGGAGGTCAGTGATCTCAGTTCTGGGACCTATCTGCAGGTGTTCCTCAGTGGTGTCGAAGGCTCAGCCATTTTCAGCTGCTTCAATGTTGACCTCACACGCTCCATCATAAGATCAGAAGTGGGGATATTTGCTGCTGAGTGCGCAATGTTCAGCACTGTTTGCAGTCCATGGCCAAATGCAGCAAGAACCTGGACAATATCCAGGGTTGGGTTGAAAAGTAGCAAATAACACTCATGAGTAACACAAATGCCAGGCTAAATCCAACAAGAGCAAATCTAGCCATCAAAGTTGCCATCACTGAATTCCCCCACTATTGACATCCTCCGAGATTTTTATTGACCGGAAACTGAACTGAACCAGCCATATAAATAACATGTCTATAACATGAAGAGCAGGTCAGAGGCTTGAATGCTACAATGGGTAACTTGCCCCCTGACTCCCCAAAGTCTATCCACCAACAGTAAGACACAAGTTAGGAGTGTATTGGAATTCTCCCCACTTTCCTGGTTTGAATGCAGCTCCAAAAGCACACAAGACAAAGCAGCCCATTTAATTGGCACTGCATTCTCAAACATTCATACCCTCCACCACTGATGTTCAGCAGTGGTGTGTACTATTTAAAAGAACAAAGAAAATTACAGCACAGGAAGAGGCCTTTCAGCCCTCCAAGCCTGCACCGACATGCTGCCCATCACAACTAAAACCCCCCACCCTTCCGGGGACCATATCTCTCTATTCCCATCCTATTCATGTATTTGTTAAGACGCCCTTTAAAAGTCAGTATCATATCTGCTTCCACTACCTCCCCAGCAGCAAGTTCCAAGCACCCACCGCTCTGTGTTTAAAAAAAAACTTGCCTCATACATCACCTTTTAAACCTTGCCCCTCGCTCCTTAAACCTATGGCCCTAGTAACTGACTCTTCCACCCTGGCAAAAGCTTCTGACTGTCCACTCTGTCCGTACCCTTCATAATCTTGTAGACCTCTATCAGGTCACCCCTCAACCTCTGTCACTCCAGTGAGAACAACCCAAGTTTCTCCAAATTCGCATTATAACTAAAGCCCTCCATACCAGACAACATCCTGGTAAATCTTTTCTCTACCATCTGCAAAGTGTGGCTACCAGAATTGAACACAATATTCCAAATGTGGCCTGTAAGGTTCTATAAAGCTGCAATATTACTTGACAATTTTTAAACTCAGTGCTCCGGCCGATGAAGGCAAACATGCTGTATGTTTTGTTGACTACCTTCTCCATCAGCGTTACCACTTTCGGTGACCTGTGTACCTGTACACCTAGATCCCGCTGCCTATCCATACTCTTTTTAAGGGTTCTGCCATTTACTGTATATTTTCCATCTGGATTAGATCTTCCAAAATGCATTACCTCACATTTTTCCAGATTAAACTTCATCTGCCATCTCTCTGCCCGAGTCACCAACTGATCTATATCCTGCTGTGTCCTCTGACAGTCTTAATCACTATCCACAATTCCACCAACCTTTGTGTCATCTGCAAACTTACTAATCAAACCAGTTACATTTTCCTCCAAATCATTTATATATATTACAACACTGATCCCTGAGGAATGCCACTAGTCACAGCCCTCCATTCAGAAATGCGCCCTTCCACTGCTACCCTCTGTCTTCTATGACTGAGCCAGTTTTTTACCAATCTTGCAAGCTCACCTCTGACCCCGTGCGACTTTACCTTCTGTATCAGTCTGCCATGAGGGACCTTGTCAAAGGCCTTACTGAAGTCCATGTAGACAACATCCACTGCCCTACCCTCATCGATCATCTTTGTCACCTCCTCAAAAAACTCAAGTTTTAGTGAGGCACGACCTCTGCTTTACAAAACCATGTTGCCTCTGGCTAATACGCCCACTTATTTCCAAGTGGGAGTAAATCCTGTCTCAAAGTATCCTCTCCAATAATTTCCCTACCACTGATGTAAGTCTCACTGGCCTGTAATTAGCTGGATTATCCCTGCCACCCTTCTTAAACAAAGGAACAACGTTGGCTATTCTCTAATCCTCTGGGACCTCCCCTGTAGCCAGTGAGGATACAGAGATTTCTCTCGCGGCCCCAGCAATTTCCTCCCTTGTTTCTCTCAGTATTATATCCCGTCAGGCCCTTGGGACTTGTCTATCTTAATGTTTTTCAAGACCCCATAATACCACCTCCCTTTTAATCTCAACATGACTCAAACTATCTACAAACCCTTCCCCAGACTCATCACCAACCAAGTCCTTCTCTATGGTGAATACTGATGCAAAGTACTCATTTAATACCTCACCCATTTCCTCTGGCTCCACACATAAATTCCCTTCCCTGTCCTTGAGCGGGCCAACCCTCTCCCTGACTACCCTCTAAGATGTAGAAAAGATGTAGAAGATGTAGAAATTCACCAAAGCTCCTTAAACAGCACTTTCAGTCCCATGAACACTACCATCTAGAAGACAAGGACAGCAGATCCACCACCACCTGCAAATCTCTCTCCAAACCACTCACCATCCTGACTTGAAAATATATTGCTGTTCTTTCAGTGACACTGGGTCCAAATCGTGGAATGCCCTCCCCAAAGGCATTGTGGGTCTACCTGCAGCAACTGGAGTGCAACAGTTCAAGAAGACAGCTCACCACCACCTTCTCCAGGGCAATTAGGGATGGGCAATAAACGCTAGCCCAGCCAGTGATGCCCATGTCCCATGAATGAATAAACAATAAATGTATGGAACTCATTATTTCTATATCTAACTGTATTAAGAAAGATGTGTCTGGTTATGTAATCCAACTGGCATTCAAGTAATGCGTTTTACCAATATCACACTGCCAGTTTTTGTTTTGTGTAATTTCAGTTAAAGAGTACAACGACAGTTGCTGCGAGTCAGGATTTTAAGGACGACAGAATATGGCTAAATGGAAAAGAAGAAAACATCAACCACCCAAGACTGCAGACTTGCTTACGAGAAAGTGTGTATCCATTAGACAATCGATGCAATGTTACTGAAAATGGCACTGTAGCAGTAGATAAAGTTCTGTCGGAGTCTGACCTATGTTAGGTGTTCGTTCCATTGTGTAGTAATGCAAACTTTTGTTTTGGTATTAACCAGCTGTATGTTAGTGCAAGAAGCTGCCCAAAACATGGGATCATTTGAGGAAGTGGATGACGGATGTTTCATGGCCAAGAGTACAAGATAGAATCATGCTGTACTCCCAAGTTATTCTTAAATATTCTGGTATTCACATTACAGCTAATTTTGTTGGACAGATGGATTATGATTGGCATAAGCAGCTTTCTAAACAATTTTTTTGCCAATCTGTTGTATGAACTTGTAAATTTAATTGTAATTTTTAAAATCTCTATCAGATGGGGTTTATAACAGATAAAATGCTGGAGTACTAGAATACAAAATCTTGATCTACAAATGAGGAAGAATTTGACACCTACTCATCAGTTTTTACATTTGGAATACATCCCGTGTTACCCTTGGGATATCTTACTTGCCATAAAGCATCAGTGTCCACCAAATTATTTCGTGATGAGCCTGCCTTTTTAAAGCCTTTATATCCTAGACTGTATAATTGTGATGAACTCACCATTTCAATGAATCCTGATGGTTTACTAGCTCCTCTTTATCCCAGTGTTTGCAGAGATGTCTTCAGCTTCTCAGCCTCATGATCTGGAATTCAAAGCCTAAATCCGTCTGTTCCTGTAGCTTCCCTTCAAAAAACAAAGAACAAAGAAAATTACAGCACGGGAACAGGCCCTTCGGCCCTCCAAGCCTGCGCCGATCCAGATCCTCTATCTAAATCTATTGCCTATTTTCCAAGGATCTGTATCCCTCTGCTCCCTGCCCATTCATGTATCTGTCTAGATATATCTTAAATGATGCTATCATGCCCGCCTCTACCACCTCCGCTGGCAACGCGTTCCAGGCACCCACCACCCTCTGCGTAAAGAACTTTCCACGCATATCTCCCTTAAACTTTTCCCCTCTCACCTTGAAATCGTGACCCCTAGTAAGTGAGTCCCCCACTCTGGGGAAAAAGCTTCTTGCTATCCACCCTGTCTATACCTTTCATGATTTTGTAGACCTCAATCAGGTCCCCCTTCAACCTCCGCCTTTCTAATGTAAATAATCCTAATCTACTCAACCTCTCTTCATAGCTAGCGCCCTCCATACCAGGCAACATCCTGGTGAACCTCCTCTGCACCCTCTCGAAAGCATCCACATCCTTTTGGTAATGTGGCGACCAGAACTGTACGCAGTATTCCAAATGTGGTCGAACCAAAGTCCTATACAACTATAGCATGACCTGCCAACTCTTGTACTCAATACCCTGTCCAATGAATAAAAGCATGCCGTATGCCTTCTTGACCACTCTATCGACCTGCGTTACCACCTTCAGGGTACAATGGACCTGAACACCCAGATCTCTACGTGCATCAATTTTCCCCAGGGCTTTTCAATTTACCGTATAGTTCGCTCTTGAACTGGATCTTCCAAAATGCATCACCTTGCATTTGCCTGGATTGAACTCCATCTGCCATTTCTCCGCCCAACTCTCCAATCTGTCTATATTCTGCTGCATTCTCCGACAGTCCCCTTCACTATCTGCTACTCCACCAATCTTAGTGTCATCTGCAAACTTGCTAATCAGACCATCTATACCTTCCTCCAGATCATTTATGTATATCATAAACAACAGTGGTCCCAACGTGGATCCCTGTGGAACACCACTGGTCACAGTTCTCCAGTTTGAGAAACTCCCTTCCACTACAACTCTCTGTCTCCTGTTGCCCAGCCAATTCTCTATCCATCTCGCTAGTACACCCTGGACCCCATGTGACTTCACTTTCTCCATCAGCCTACCGTGGGGAACCTTATCAAACGCCCATCTGAAGTCCATGTATATGACATCTACAGCCCTTCCCTCATCTAACAACTTTGTCACTTCCTCAAAGAATTCTATCAAGTTGGTAAGACATGACCTTCCCTGCACAAAACCATGCTGCCTGTCACTAATAAGCCCATTTTCTTCCAAATGTAAATAGATCCTACCCCTCAGTATCTTCTCCAGCAGCTTCCCCACCACTGACGTCAGGCTCACCGGTCTATAATTTCCTGGATTATCCTTGCTACCCTTCTTAAACAAGGGGACAACATTAGCAATTCTCCAATCCTCCGGGACCTCACCTGGACCTCAAGAATGCTGCAAAGATATCTGTTAAGGCTCCAGCTATTCCCTCTCTTGCTTCCCTCAGTAACCTGGGATAGATCCCATCCGGACCTGGGGACTTGTCCACCCTAATGCCTTTTAGAATACCCAACACTTCCCCCACCCCACCATCCCCCCCCACCCCTCCTTATGCTGACTTGATCTAGAGTAATCAAACATCTATCCTTAACCTCAACATCCGTCAAAATTCCTTCAAAATCCTCCTTGAAGCAGATCTACTGCCCCATGCTTGCACCTCCCCTCTCTCCACGAGCCCACTTTTTCCTTCTCTGTATTAATTACCTCTGGCCTGGGTTACAATCGTGGGACTCCAGGATCTGTCTTCTTGGTGGCAACCATGGTCTTCCCAGTGAACTTGCTGAACGTGGGAGTTTGGTAGTTGAGTCTTTCACTCGCGGGCTTTGATTCCAGATTAAGGCTCACACTGCTTGATTCATTTGAGGTTCAGCAGACCTTCATGTGCAAAGGCAGCAAGGGTCTTTGACGGGCTGTCCAATGGGCAAATAATACCCCAATTTCTCAACAAAATACAGCCTGTACAATTTACATATCAGAAAATGCAGAAATATTAGTGTTCAGCCTTTATTCCTACATTACATAGTGATTATGCTTCAAAAGTACCTCATGGTTGTAAAAAGCCTTGGGACATCCTTTGATCATGAAGGTGCTGCAACAGTGCATGTTTTAAATGTTTTTTTTCCAGGTAGTTAATGGGTACAAACTCGAAACTTAGTGAACTCTTTCAGCTGAGCACAATGTTTACGAAGCTATCAGAAATTATAATACACAAATTGTACTGAAATTGATGTCTTTTTCATTTCATATTGGACCTCAGCATTGTGTAAATTAACCCCTTTGAGATCTTGTATCAGTTTATAATTTTGCCTAGGGTTAATGTGGCAATCCTTGGTATGTTCCTGTTAGTGTGAAGGGCAAGGCAGATAGGTGTAGGGAATGCTGGATGACAAGAGAAATTGAGGCTGTGGTCAATAAAAAGAAGCAGGCAGATATCAGGTATAGACAGAATCGAGTGAATCCCTCAAGGAGTAGAAGGGCAGTAAGAGTACACTCAGGAGGGCAAAAAAGGGACATTAGATAGCTTTGTCAAATAGAGTTAAGGAGAGTCTAAAGAGATTCCATAAGTAGACTAAGGCAAAAAAGTAATTGGGGAGAGAATAGGGTCCTTTATATATCAATATGGCCGTTTATATGTGGAACCACAGGAGATATAGGAGATACTAAATGAATACCTTGCATCAGTATTTACTGTGGAGAAGGACACTGGAAGCTAGTGTATTTGGGAAAATAAATAGAGATGTCTTGAAAAGAGTCCACATAAAGAAGAGGAGGTGCTGGAGATCTTTAAAGGTAGATAAATCTCTTTGACCTGATCAGATGTTTCCCAGAACTTTGTGGGAAGCTAGGGAACAGATTGCTGGGCCCCTTGCTGAGATATTTGTATCATCGATAGTCACGGTAGCGGTGCCAGAAGACTGGAGGTTGGCTAATGTGGTGCCATTATTTAAGAAAGGCTGTAAGGAGAAGCTAGGGAACTATAGACAAGTGAGCCCAGTGTGGTGGGTAAGTTATTAGGCGGGGTGTGGATTCTGAGGGACAGGATTTACATACATTGGAAAGTTGAGGACTGATTTAGGGATAGTCAGCATGGCTTTGCGCCTAGGAAGGCAGAGCAGTAGATGTCTATATGGACTTCAGCACGGTAGACTGGTTAGTAAGGTTAGATCTCATGGAATCCGGGAGAGCTAGTCAATTGGATACAAAATTGGTTTGAAGTTAGGCGACAGGGTGGTGGTAGAGAGTTGTTTTTTTTTTCAGATTGTGACCAACAGCGTGCCACAAAAATCAGTGCTGGGTCCACTGCTTTTCGTCATTTGTGTAAATGATTTGGACGTGAATGTGCTAATTTTGCAGATGACACCAAAATAGGTAGTAAACAATGGAGAAGGTTATCTCAGACCTTGATCAGATGGGCCAATGGGCTGAGGAGTGGCAGATGGAGTTTAATTTAGATAAATGTGAGGTGTTGCATTTTGGTAAGGCGAATCAGGACAGGACCTACACAGTTAATGTTGGGGCCCTGGGGAGTGTTGACAAATAAAGAGACCTGGGGTGCAGGTGCATAGTTCCTTCAAAATGGAGTCACAGATAAACAGGGTGGTGAAGAAGGTGTTTGGTGCACTTGCCTTCATTGGTCAGAAATTGAGTATTGGATTTGGATGTTGTTGTGCTGTACATGACATTGGTGAGGCACTTTTAGAATTCTGTGTACAGTTCTGGTCACCATTCTATAGGACTGATGTTGTTAAACTTGAGAGGGTGAATAAAAGATTTACGAGGATGTTGCGGGGACTGGAGGATTTGAGTTTATAGGGAGACTGAATAGGCTAGAACTTTTTTCCCATGGAGCATCGGAGGCTGAGGGGTGACCTTATGGAGGTTTATAAAATCATGAGAGGCATGGATAGGGTGAATAGCCAAGGTCTTTTTTTTCTAGGATAGGGGATTCCAAAACTAGATAACATAGGTTTAAGGTGAGAGGGGAAAGATTTAAAAAGGACCTGAGGGGTAACTTTTTCATGCAGAGGGTGGCATGTGTATGGAATGAGCTGCCAGAGGAAGCGATGGAGACACGTACAATTACGTTATTTAAAAGGCATCTGGATGGGTATTTGAATAGGAATGGTTTAGAGGGATATGGGCCAAATGATAGCAAATGGGACTAGATCAGATTGGGATATCTGGTTGGTATGGATGAGTTGAACCGAAAGGTATGTTTCCGGGATGTATAACTCTATGAATCTATAAACACACAACAGACAAGACTCCATTTGAAAATATATCTTTGTCAATTCATATGTTATTACATATTCTTAGCACACTGCCAATCACATTTTTTTCCTTAGCAACAGGAAAAATACTCAACTTCAATTGGAAGTTTATATTTCAATTGAAGGGTTCAGTAATAATAGGGTTCTTGCCTATTTGTGGTAGTATTTGTTTTTTTTTTAAAAAGATTGACTTCTTTATAGCATGATTCTAAAATGAATGAAGTGTGATCTGTAATTACAGAAGTACTTAAATTTGCAAATACTCAGGAAATTGGAATTTTCTCTCCTAGTCCGTCGTCTAGCAAGAAAAAGAAGAACCAGTGGTGATGGAAATTCTAACACATTATCACTCCACCATAAAGTTCACATCTGCTCTGTAAATAACTTCCCTACAGCAGCAGGCCTGGCATCCTCTGCAGCTGGTTATGCTTGTCTGGGTAAGCAAGATAATAGGTGAACCTAAACTTTTAAAACATGCACACCAGACAGAATGGGGTAAGAATGAAACTGGTCTGAAATAGGGAGAATCATAGAATTTTATGAGGGTAGGGAGTCCTGAGGCTAACCAGAAATTAGACCTTGAGTCTTAGTTACATCTTTATAGCCTCAATTGTAGTTGGTAGCAATCTAAGCTCAGATAATTAACTGGATGAGTTTGAATTTTGCTTTACTTTTAATCCTTTGACACAAACTTCTCCAAGGTGCTACAGCACCTCTAGCTGCAGCATTCTGGCAGTATTGCACTAAAATGCCATCATGCTCCAGGAACAAAATAGAAATTGCTGGAAAAACTCAGCAGGTCTGGCAGCATCTAGAGAAAAATCAGAGTTAACGTTCTGGGTCCAGTGACCCTTCAGAACTCCAGGACCTGAGTACAAAAATCAAACCTGAGACACCCGAGTATTGATGTAGTGTTGCACTGTTAGAGGTGCAATTGAGATGTTAAACAGAGGCAGCAGGAACTGCAGATGCTGGAGAATCTGAGATAACAAGGTGTAGAGCTGGACGAACACAGCAGGCTAAGCAGCATCAGAGGAACAGGAAGGCTGATGTTTCGGGCCTAGACCCTTCTTCAGAAGTAGGCCCAAAACGTCAGCCTTCCTGCTCCTCTGATGCTGCTTGGCCTGCTGTGTTCATCCAGCTCTACACCTTGTTATCTCTGTTAAACAAAGGCCCTCTCTGACTTTTTCAGGTGAATGTAAAAGGTCCCATGAGGCTTGTGAAGATGAGCAGTTGTTTAGGTGTTTTGGCTAATAGTTATTCCTCAGCCAACATTATTTAAATGTATTATTTAGCATTACATTTTTGCTGTTTGTGGGCACTTACTGTATGCAAACTGGCTGCCACCTCTCCGACATTATAACAGTGACCACTTCAAAAGTGATTGTTAGCTGTAATATGCTTCGGGATGTCTGGTCATTATGAAATGTAAGTCTCATTTTCTATGTTTTTGTCTTTAACTGATGTTCCTTTTGCAGTGTATGCACTTGCCAAGCTGCATGGTTTGGAAGGAGAGCTGTCTGAGATTGCTCGCCAAGGGTCAGGAAGTGCCTGCAGAAGCATGTATGGAGGCTTTGTGCAGTGGATGATGGGAACGAAAGAAGATGGAAGCGATAGTATAGCGCAGCAAATTGAGCCGGAAACTCACTGGCCAGAGCTTCGGGTCCTTATATTAGTGGTGAGTCCATGGCAACATGAACAGAGCCATTCTCAAGATTCAGTCCTATCATGGTAATGACAATGGCCTAATAATCATAAGCTCTTCAGAGATTCAATAGGTTAGATAATTTAAAACCGTAAAACACATTATATGTAATAAAGCAAACATTACCACAACCAACTGATTTCTGTATTTGGAGCTTGCAAACCTTGGAAAACTAACTGCCTGGCAAATCACCACATTGTTTACACATGGAAAATTGAGTCCTTAAAGATAAACTTTCGAAAGGAGCCACTCTTGGCACCACCCAAACAAGAGGCTGCATTTGTGTTTATACACATTCTTTTCTCACTTTGATTGCATCTTATTTATTAAATTTACTGACCATGTTGGGTAGGCTGTAAACAATTGTGCCTTCTGCAAAAATATAAAGCTTTTCATCCAACATGTTTGAAATGAACGTAAAAGGCATTGAAATTAAAACAGGGAATGCTTTGAAGACTCAGTGGATCAGACATCATGATTGGAGAGAGGAAGATTGTGCTATGTTTCCAATCAATAAATTTTTGCCCATCTTGAGAGATGAACAACTCATTAGAGAAAGAGAATGGAGAAGAGGGTGCTGGGAGATAATAATGATCCATGAGTTAGTCTGAGAACAGATGACTGAATGACCATTAGGAAAGATGAGGAAAAAAGAAACAATAACGAGAGTAATAAAATATGTAGTGGTACTGCTTATTGTAGAGGGGTGGGTTAGAAATGGTAGCCTATTAAAAGGTAGTGATGACGAAGAGAAAAACTTGTATTACGGACTTCACTAGCTATTGTTTTCATAGTGTGCAATAATTCTTATGAATAGGTGGGTTGTTGAGCAAGTGGCATTGGCTGTTTTGTAATAAGTAGTAACAATGTGGAATTCCTTGAGTATTTTGTTGTTATAACATGCAGAATGTTTGTTTCACAATGCATGTTATGAGAAAGCGTTATAATAATAATTTCCTGTAAACCTTCAACACTGGATAGAAAAGATACAGTAGTACTGATCATATTTTGAGAGGGATAAAGGAGCAAGAAGGCTGCTTCTGTGTATTCCTCTATTTGCAAAGGATGGCTAAATATGGCACATTGTTTACAGAGTGTTGTATTATGCTAAGGTTGTCTTGAATAACTAATGGTTAGTTCCTTGGATCATTAAAAATACTGCTTCACATTCATCATCTCAACTCGATAAACTTTATATTGATCAATATGCCACATTAAAATCGTTGCTGTTCCTGTATATTCAAAAGCAACCCCAACAATTATAGTTTAATATGATATTTTTATATGGTGATTTTATTTACAGAATTAAAGAAATATGAAAAGCAGCTATTTCAAACAGCAACTCAAATTATTTTGGCATTAAAGCCTTTCAGAGCTTTGCACTTTACAATTTGCCTCCTTTTTCCTCTCTCAACAGTCTAAGTTTGGCCCTAAGTAGCTCCTACTATCAGTAGGTATGTATTTCTGCTTTGTGGCTGTCAGTGTCATCAGCACAATAGTTATTCCATTGCTGAAATAGAAATGCTGTTGTTACTCTTGAGAGTTCTTTGCGTGGTAAGACATCTTAACATGTAAAGATCACCCTAAATCTATACACTAAAGAAACTTATGTCGCTAGTACTTTCCATGCACTTACATTCTTTACCTTCATTATAATCTTTTAGTGGAAATCATGATTATACTAAACTCTGGTTTAAAAAAGTAGTCCAGTGATGTCACACTCAGACCAACCTATATTAGTCTAAAATATTTGGATTCTAACTTGTTCTAAATAGCTTGCTTTAAAGTGTTTTGCTTGCGGTAATGAAAATGTCCGGCTCCTTTCTGCTTCTTTTCTAGGTCAGTGCAGAACAGAAGCCAATTGGTAGTACTGCTGGGATGCAAACCAGTGTCAAGACCAGTCCATTGCTGAAGGTATGAAATTATTTCATTTGAAGTATTAGCAAGCGTTTGAAAACTTAGAATTCCACAACAATTGCAACAAAGAAGTGATCTGTTCTTCTCCATCGTCCATATCAGTACTACTCTTGCATACAACCTGTAGTCATAATACCACATCTGCACTATGTTTCCATGTGGTTTATTTCTCAATTTTCTTCAATCACTTATCTAATCTAGGCTTAAATGTGGAAATGGCCTCAGCTTCAGGCATTTCAAAGCCTTACAGTGCTCTCTATTAAAAAGTAAGTTAAAAGGAGACTTGATGTAAATGACTTCATTTAAGATGGGACCATTTAAAAGAGACCTGAACGTAACACATGTTAAAGTGGCAGTATATTACAGCTGAATAAAGGCAACTACAGAGGTATGAGGGAGGAGCTGAGCAGAATTGACTGGAAGAGGAGCCTAGCAGGAAAGACAGTGGAACAGTAATGGCAGGAGTTTCTGGGAGTACTTCAGGAAACGCAGCAAAATTTCATCCCTAGGAAAAAGAAGCATGGTACAGGGAGGATGGGGCAACCATGGCTGACTAAGGAAGTCAGGGATAGCATAAAAGCAAAAGAGAAAGCATGGCGAAGGGCAGTGGGAAAGCAGAGGACTGGGAAGCTCACAAAGACCAACAGAGGGCGACAAAAAACGAAATAAGGAGGGAGAAGATTAAATATGAGGGTGAGCTAGCCAGGAATATAAATGAAGACTGTAAGAGTTTCTTCAGGTATATAAAGGGCAAAAGAGAAGCAAAAGTGGATATTGGACCACTGGAAAATGACAGTGGAGAGATAGTAGTGGGGAACAAGGAACTGGCTGAGGAACTGATTAATTACTTCGTGTCAGTCTTCACGCTGGAAGACATGAGTAAAATCCCAAAAATTCAAGAGAGTCAGGGGGCAGAGCTGAGTATGGTGGCCATCACCAAGAAGAAGGTGCCAGTAAAACTGATTGGCCTGAAGATGGACAAATCACCTGGACCAGATGGACTACACCCCAGAGTTCGAAAGGAGATAGCTGAAGAGATAGTGGAAGCATTAGTGGTGATCTTTCAGGAATCGCTAGAGTCAAGGAGGGTCCCAGAGGGCTGAAAATTGCTAATGTGACACCCCTGTTTTAAAAAGGGAGTAAGGCAAAAGGTGGAAAATTACAGGCCGATTAGCCTAACCTCAATCATGGGTAAGATTTTGGAGTCATTGTAAAGGATGAGATTTCTGAATATTTGGAAGTGTATAGTAAAATAGGGCAAAGTCAGCATGGTTTCATCAAGGGGAGGTCATGCCTGACAAATCTACTAGAATTCCTTGAGGAAGTAATGAGCAGGGTAGACCAAGGAGAGCCAATGGATGTTATCTACCTGGACTTCAAGAAGACCTTTGATAAGGTGCCACACAGGAGGCTGCTGAGTAAGATAAGGGCCCACGATGTTCAAGGCAAGGTGCTAGCATGGATAGAAGATTGACTGTCTGGCAGAAAGCAGAGAGTGGGGATAAAGGGGTCTTTCTCAGGATGGCAGCCGGTGACAATTGGTGTTCCGCAAGGGTCAGCTGGGACCACAGCTGTTCACTTTGTACATTAATGATCTCAACTGTGGGCATTCTGGCTAAGTTTGCAGACGATACAAAGATGGGTGGAGGGACAGGTAGTATTGAGGGAGGAGGCTGCAGAAGGATTTGGACAGGTTAGGAGAGTGGGCAAAGAAGTGGCAGATGGAGTACAACGTGGGAAAATGTGAGGTCATACACTTTGGTAAGAAGAATAAAAGCATGGGCTATTTTCTAAATGGGGAGAAAATTCAGAAGTCTGAAGTGCAAAGAGACTTGGGTTCTAGTCCAGGATTCTCTCAAGGTAAACTTGCAGGTTGAGTCAGTAGTCAGGAAGGCAAATGTAATGTTGGCATTTATTTTGAGAGGACTTGAATATAAATCAGGGATAAACTACTGAGGCTTTATAAGGCTCTGGTCAGGCTACATTTGGAGTATTGTGTGCAGTTTTGGGCCCCATATCTCAGGAAGGATGTACTGGCCCTGGAGCAGGTTCAGAGGAG